GTTGAAGAATATCATGGCCAATAATTACATTAAAACATAGGTTCGATAACACTAAAATTCTCATATTTTGGTATTTATGACCTAGTAACTGTAGATGTATCACGCAATATCCTTGAATGTCCTGTGAAAAAGTTGTAGATGCCATAATTACTTTGTGTGAGCAAGGGATTATCTTCAAATTATGTTTAATAGCAAAATCATAGTCAAGATAGCTGTCAGAACTCCCAGTATCTATTAAGGACGTGGCATTCGTATTATTTATTCTGCAATTAACAAGTGTTTTTGTTAAGCAGGGAAGACTTAATGAGCTAGAAGTAGCAAGGAAATAGGTAGAAGCTATTGTTAATTTAACAGCAGACTTGTCATTATTGGCTTTAGCCTTCAAACAGACTTTAACAAAATGACCAATTTTTTTACAGTAAGAACATACTGTATTTCTGGCAGGACAAACAGATCGAGGATGATTTGGTTTTCCACAAAAATAACAAGTTTTAAAAGTAAGTGCTGATGATGAAGCAGAATTATAGTCATATTCTGCGACTGTAGAAAAACTATGTGATGATTCTGGTGATGCATAAGCTGCCGTGTTTTTCTGTGCCTTTTCCAATGCCTGTGACTGGGAAATTGCTGCTTCAAGATCTAAAGTACTATTTTCTAATAGTCTTTGACGAATCTGTGACGATAGTAGTCCATTAATATAAGCATCACGTATGTAATCATTCTTATTTTTCTTAGCATCTACTGCTTTGAAACCGCAATCTTTACTAAGGTGTTGAAGTTCAAGTAAATACTGGTCAGTACTCTCACCTGGCTGTTGCTTTCGAGTAGCTAATAGGTGTCTGGCAAAAATTTCATTTGGTTTTTTTATATAGACCTTCTGTAATGTCCGGATACAGTCTGTATATGTTTTGCATTCACTTATTAGGTCATAAACTGAATGACTAATATAATTTGTAAGCAATCTTAGCTTTTCTTCTTCACCTATACCTGTCTCACTGTTAGGTAGTGAATGTAAAAAATTCTCGAATGTTTTAAACCAATGTGTCCATTCTTTGGTAGAGTTGAGGGAACTAGGTTCAGCTTCAAACCGCTCCGGGCGTAAAAATTTGTCCATAATGTTAAATAAATTGTAATAAACCTTGAACTTTTAGGCTTTATTTAACATTAAACTTTGACAATAACAAAATGTAAATAACTGAATGGATACGAGTTAGAACGTACTATAACTATAAGATAAGAACATACTATAAACTAATAAACAGGTATATAGTACAATACCATGCATTAATTTAGCCAGAAGCGGTAGACCAAGAATTTTGAGTGTAAGAAGAGAAAGAAGACTGATGGAAGCTGCTAAAGACAAAGTTGGAGTTTCTCAGAGAAAATTAGCCCGGAGATTTGGTATTTCGAAAACTACTGTATTAAGAACAATTGATCGCACAAACTTAGTGTTTAGGAAAAGAAGAAATGCACCAAAATACACCGCAGACCAGCTAGAAAGAATTCCCCGTTGTTGCCGCGCATTAAGGCGTATCCACTTTGCCAATAAATTGATTGTAATGGATGATGAAAAATATTTTACCTTATCCCATTTAGAGATTAAAGGAAACGATGGGTTTTATACCGATAACATAGAAAATACACCACACAATGTTAAATATAAAGGTAAATTGAAATTTGAGGATAAAGTTTTAGTGTGGTGTGCCATTTCTGAAGCAGGATTTATCTCACAGCCGTATGTTGGTCGGGTTCGGGGAGAAGCCTTAAATGCAGAACTTTATATTCAAAGATGTCTTACTAAATAACCTAATTTTTTAAATACACATCATCTCAACGATAATATAATGTTTTGGCCTGATCTAGCTTTATGCCATTATGCTAGAATTACCAGACAGTGGTTAAGTGAAAATAACATTGACTTTGTACCTAAGTTGGACAATCCTCCTAATGTACCTCAGGCTAGGTCAATAGAGGAATTTTGGTCAATACTATCAAGGAAAGTGTACGATAAAGGATGGGAAGCTACAAATGAAGATCAATTGCGGCGTCGCATCTTCCAAAAGAATAGAGAAATAGAACCTGCTCTTGTCCAAAGGAAGATGGGACAAGTCCGAAGAAAATTACGACTCATTGAGGATAACGGGCCACTATCCATAATGTAATTAGTAATTATTTTTCGTTATTAGTGTTATTTGTTGCCACATGAGCTTTTAAAATTAAAAAAATTTGGAAAATTTATTAGCATTTAAAAATTTTCCAAAAACTTTAGGACCATACTTTATAAGGTAAGTGAATACAATATCGCCATGCTTATCTTATAATGTTTTTATATAAAAGTACTGTATATTAAAATAAAAAATCGTCAGGGTAGGAATGTTACTGATACATCGTACTAATAATTTAAAATAGTAAAAGATGTTACGGGCAAGTTTGTGCATTTTGCGAACATTTTTTTTTAAATATTGTACATTGGCGATATTTTCTCAGGGGGTTAGCAATAACGCCACATAATATTGTACAAAATGATGTTTTTATCGCAAATTTTACAAGCAAAGTCAGTTTTTCTAAATTAACGTTTATTCAAATAAAATGAAAACCTAAACATAAGTAGTAATAAACAAGCAAAAAATTTTTAGGGACAATATGGACAAATGTAACCCTCAAATTTATCTTTCTTGGTAAGTCGTAAGTCCCAAGCAGTAAATAGCTGTTACAAGCCACGAAAAGATGCATGTCTGTGATTCTGTCCATTTTGCATGCTTTGCAAGACCAACTTTCTTTACTGGTCGCTTTCTTCGGGCCGAAGGACTTTTTTTCTAGTGCAGGTTTCTTAGATTTGGGAGTAGAAGTGTTGCCTCTTAGATCAGACTTGGCCAAAAGGTATTTGGTAACAACTTGTGCTCTGGAATTGATTGCTGATTTTCTTGGCCTGGTGTTATAATATTTGTGTACCATTTCAGGTGTGGTAAGCATATCAGAAAATGATTTTCTTCACTCTCTTCATCCTGTTCGTCTTCTTTGGCGTCATTATCTGTATTATCGTCCAAGCATTCGGACGACAGGGATCCACTCTCTTTAGAATCACTTATGTCACGTAACTGAATCCGTTGACGATTTCCAGCAGCTGTCGAGAAATCTGGAAGTGGTGTACGTAAAATAATGGGTCGACTATTGGAAGGAACTAGAGGGGGTGCCATGACTCTATGTTGCGTAGGTGGTTATTGACTAGGATTTTCCTTGTTCAGTTATAGTGCTTGGAGCATATGCTTCGGGTGGTAAAATGTCCTGATTAAACGGATAAATTCCAGTTGCTGCGATACCAGATTTAATGTTTGATGGTGTCATACATTTATCCCAAACTACAGAAAAAAATGTTTCCAAAACGATTCCTATGTGTTGACCAGTATTTAAGAACTTCGTCATTCTAATAGCGTTCTAATGAGCGAAACACAGACCCATCCGTAGGCTGTAGTGCGTGCATTGTAGTGCGACCATGATAATAGAATAATCCAGATGACACTTAGCACCATCGAAAATTAAAAGAGATGACCATAAACTTTGTATTTGGAAAAATGATACAATCATTGTTTAAAAGCATCAATGGTCATACTACCGTTTGGAGTCATTAACACCATACTAGAAGTCTATCTGCCCATTCAGGCTTCATCCTTTTTCCTTTAAAAAAATTAATGGAGGAATTGCAGAACTCAGGGCATTGCTACAAGATACTATTGTGACGTTTTGTCCATGCTCATTTGCCACAAGGCTCCTTTTTTTGCAAGGACTCTTTGTTGATGATGTAATGCTAACCAACAGCCCTTCTCATCCATGTTGCAGATATGCTCAGGCTTGTCCATGATGTCCATGTTAGTAAGAATTTCGCTCAATTTTTCAAAATGGTCGCTTACAATAAACCTATTTAGTTTCTGAGCTCTCGCGCGGTTCATGCTTTAACCGTTCCGATTCCTAATATTCGGATGCCTGTTGAGAAAACCTTTTAGCCAGTATCAGCCTGCCAATTTTGTAACTTCATTGAACGGATTTTGAATTTGGTTGGTCTCACAAAAATTGAACGCATCCCCGTAAATCTTTCGAAGTTAAGGGATAGCCTACTTCCGCTAAACGAATTATTCTTCTACACAAATCTTCCTCTTGTTTTGCGGTATGTTCCTGAACCTGGTTTTCAAAATTGTATAGGTGAAAAGTTAGGAGTGGAGCATTCAACAGTATCCCGTACAGTCAGCAGTGTTATGTCAAAAATTGTTGAGCATTCTTTTCAAAGGATAAAATTTTCGATTAACGAGAACGCGCTAATTCACGCAAAGAAGACATGGTTGGACAAGTATAACTTCCCGACGCCAGTAGGAGTCTTGGACTGCATTCACGTACGTTTACTAAAACCGCAACACCATGAAGACGAGTATAATAACCAAAAGGGCTGGCCGTCACTTAATGTTCAAGCGACATGTGATGCAAGGTATATGTTTACAAGTGTAAATATAACGTGGCTGGGCTCTGTACATCATGTTTAAATTTGAAGGAATTGTGAGTTGCGTCAGATAATGGCTAGAACAAAAGATACGGTATTAATAGTAGATCAAGGATATGGAATTGAGCCATGGTTAATGACACCATTTCGTAGTCCTTGAAAGAAAATATAATAAACTTCTACCTGAACAATGTTTTGGCCAGTTGAAGAGGAGATTTTCTATGTAAGGGTACGTATGTCGAATAAAATTATAAAATGATTTTGGCAATATTGCAAAGATATTGCAATATCGGGATTTTGAAGGAGATGTTGGTGAAGTGGACGACGATCCCTCCATCCCCATAATAATAATAATAATAAAATACCAAATATATGTAATACACTTTCATTTATAAACAGAAGTCGAAAAACTCAATATATTAGACATACTCAGATATGCCCTACAATGTGTCAAAAATTAAAATTATATAAGCATTAGGATCTTGCAAACAGTACGAATTGTGCTGCTTACATCTGTAGATATGACTTTCCATCAACGTCCACGATTTCCCTTTTTTTGTGCTCCTTTTTTAGTTTTAAATATTCCTTCTGAGTTCGTGCAACCAATCGCTGTAATTCTACGTTGGACAAGTTCCTTGTCTCCTCAGTTTCATCAAATTTGTTGTATGGTTTTACACATGGCCGCTTGGCTTGGCATTCAGATTGCCGTGCCCTTTCAGTATGCTTCAACATGGACGTTCCAAATGTCAATATCCATTCAGTCGACGTACTTGGTGAAGGATTATTCCAATCACTGGCCACACCATACGAGACAGCCCCTGTAAAAAAAGTATTGGCATTAATTAGACAAAGTTGGCATACGCGAGTATATAATGATATATATCATATATCATTATATACCCACAATAAATATATGGTTCATTTAATAATGGAAATCAGCTACGAAACCATCTAACATGTTAAATGTAGGATCTATTTTTTATAAACGAATACAACATTTTTTCTTCAGACCTACGGTCCCGATAGAGTGAAAAAAATCACCGAGGATCTACTTGTAAAAGAAGATTTAAAAAATATGTTTAAGCTTACCTGGAAGCTTGTAACACTATTTTCCTATTGCCTGTTTTCTTTTTGATGGTCTTCTCCTTAAGTCGGGTTTTCATATTATTAATCTTTTTTAATAAATCAGGTGATGTATTTTTTTCCGAACATTTTTTTATATTTTTCGATTATTTGCTTTCTTGATTGCAGGCTTTTGTGATTTTTCAAGTACATTTGGCTTCTCTAGTACCTCCTTTGCGATAATCAACAACCGATTGGTACCATCGGTTCCTACATTGCTGTCTTCGTCCATACTTATGTCCCCTTCACTTTTTGACATTTGCAGACAACTCACAAAGAACCTCTCATTCACAAAACACGCAATTAATTTTTTGGCACTCGAATTTTTCAAACAAGTTTCTACAGGAATATCTAGTCGTTTCTCTGCATGGTAATGCATGATAGAATTATGATAAATATCAGACAGTAACCCGCTTCGCACCTTTTACTTCTTTTTTTGAAGTATATGCTCGCAAGTAATAGGTTTTCATTATTCATATGGTACGGAGTATATGCTTTTACTTCTACCTTTTACTTGAAGCACTTGCTTATACTTCTACCTTTTCCTTTAAAGCAAATACTCTATTTTTATTCATATGGGTAATTATATTGTTAGTTAGTAAATTGATTTGTTGCCAATTTAATAAAAAAATTAAAACAACATTAACGTCCAATTCACGAGACTAGTTTTAATGGCACAAGGTGTCAAAAACTTTTATTTGCTTCTCTCGCATTTATAATTTAACCTTTTTTTTTTGCCCTTTTTAATGCCTTAACAGAGGTTTCCAGAGATAACTTCGAGCTTTACTCACACGGAACATAATTATAATCCAGATTTTTCCACGTAGCCGAAATTCCATGAAATAAAGTGAAAAAGTTTGTTGCGTAGGCATTCAGGTGAAACGACGGATAATTCCGTCGACAAAGGGAAACTGCCCTCTAGAGACGAAAAAGATTTTACGCCGGGGCTCCTAAGGAAACGGGAAACTCGAGGTAGTAGTGCAAGTTTTGTTTTAAAATACTTAACAGATAGTAAGCTTAAAGAAAAATAAAGAGGAAAATTAAGAGAAATCTAGTTGGGGATTACGTGTTTTCTTTAGAGAAGTTTAGAAAATTATGAAGGATATTTTCTAATATTTTTAAAAGTTTTGGCACAATATTTATTGGCATTGATATAAAGATAAGTTACTTTTGAAAACAAAAGATTGCTTACTTTATTGACGATCAGTTGAGAGTTATTTATTATGAAGTATTTTTACATTAGAAATAAATAATATTTAGGGTATTTAAGAATGTGAATATTTTATTTAGAACCATATCTATGTATCCCAAAAAAGGAAAATATTGAGGATTTACTCTACATATAGCAAAGAGGTTAGTGAGTAGAGCAGAAAACAAAGTAAGGATATTAACAATACCGAGAACGGTATCGTTGAAATTAAAGAGGAATGGTCTTAGATATCGAAAGAAACTCCAGAGCCCCAAAAACACTCAAGGGCAAGTCCATCGTATATCAAGATGCAAAAACAATTATTCTGGACAAAGAAAAGTATTTCTAAAATAACAGGAAATGATGGAAAACGAGGTGTAAGAATTCCCTACCAACATTGGGTACAAACATACAACAAAATATTTGCGAAAAAAATCCTTGCCTGGTATGAAATTTATAACAAGGCTATATCTCGACCTTTTTTGGTAAGAGTGAGAGGAGTAGCCTTGAATAGTCAAGGGTAATATAACGAGACCTTGTTAAATAGTCGAATATTTTGATTGTATCTAAATTTTAAACATTTCTGCTATAATTTGCAAAATACACGAAAAATTTAGTAACAATAGAAATAAGCACTAATTTATCAAGGTTGAGTTTTATTTATTAAGATTATTTCTAGAGCCCTAGATGTTACAAAAATTAATAAATACACAATAAAATTACTTTTATTTTCGGTTCATTTTGAATCGATCTACGATATATTAGCATGTACTCTGAAAATAAATATATTTGACAGTAGCCATTAATAAATAATACACTTATAATCAAGTATTCGATTTGCTGTCAAAATAGGTAAATATCAAGCACCATGCATAATGGTCGATATGAGATAGTGAAAATAGTCGATTTATTTGGTTCTGATTGGTTCTAACCTAAAGGACTAAAAACGATTAAAAACGAATAAAACGAATAAAAACAACTAAAAACGATTCAAACCGATCAAAAACGATCAAAAACGATTAAAAAACGATTAAAAACGATTTAAAACGATTAAAGGATTTAAAACGAATAAAATCTATTAAAAACAATTATAAATGATTAAAAACGATTAAAAACGATTATAAACGACTAAAAACGTTTAAAACGATTAAAAACGATTGAAAACGATTAAAACCTATTAAAAACGATTAAAAACGATTAAAAACAATTTAAAACGAATAATAACGATTATTACTAATTGATAACGATTAATAACGATTATTACTGATTGATAACGATTATTACTGATTGATAACGATTATTACTGATTGATAACGATTAATAACGATTAAAAACGATTATTAACGATTAATAACGATTAATAACGATTAATAACGATTAATAACGATTAATAACGATTAATAACGATTAATAACGATTAATAACGATTAATAACGATTAATAACGATTAATAACGATTAATAACGATTAATAACGATTAATAACGATTAATAACGATTAATAACGATTAATAACGATTAATAAAGATTAATAACGATTAATAACGATTAATAACGATTAATAACGATTAATATCGATTAATAACGATTAATAACGATTAATAAAAATTAATAACGACTAATAACGATTAATAACGATTAATAACGATTAATAACGATTAATAACGATTAATAACGATTAATAACGATTAATAACGATTAATAACGATTAATAACGATTAATAACGATTAATAACGATTAATAACGATTAATAACGATTAATAACGATTAATAACGATTAATAACGATTAATAACGATTAATAACGATTAATAACGATTAATAACGATTAATAACGATTAATAACGATTAATAACGATTAATAACGATTAATAACGATTAATAACGATTAATAACGATTAATAACGATTAATAACGATTAATAACGATTAATAACGATTAATAACGATAAATAACGATTAATAACTATTAATAACGATTAATAACTATTAATAACGATTAATAACGATTAATAACGATTAATAACGATTAATAACTATTAATAACGATTAATAACGATTAATAACGATTAATAACGATTAATAACTATTAATAACGATTAATAACGATTAATAACGATTAATAACGATTAATAACGATTAATAACGATTAATAACAATTAATAACGATTAATAACGATTAATAACGATTAATAACGATTAATAACGATTAATAACGATTAATAACGATTAATAACGATTAATAACGATTATTAACTATTAATAACTATTAATAACTATTAATAACGATTAATAACGATTAATAACGATTAATAACGATTAATTACGATTAATTACGATTAAAAACGATTAAAAACGATTAAAAACGATTCAAAACGAATAAAAACGATTACAAACGATTAAAAACGATTAAAAACGATTAAATTACGATTAAAAACGATTAAAAACGATTAAAAACGATTAAAAACGATTAAAAACGATTAAAAACTATTAAAACTATTAAAACTATTAAAAACGTTAAAAAACGTTTAAAAACGTTTAAAAACGATTAAAAACGTTTAAAAACGATTAAAAACGATTAAAAACGATTAAAAACTATTAAAAACGATTAAAAACGATTAAAAACGATTAAAAACGATTAAAAACGATTAAAAACGATTAAAAACGATTAAAAACGATTAAAAACGATTAAAAACGATTAAAAACGATTAAAAACGATTAAAAACGATTAAAAACGATTAAAAACGATTAAAAACGATTAAAAACGATTAAAAACGATTAAAAACGATTAAAAACGATTAAAAACGATTAAAAACGATTAAAAACGATTAAAAACGATTAAAAACGATTAAAAACGATTAAAAACGATTAAAAACGATTAAAAACGATTAAAAACGATTAAAAACGAATAAAAACGATTCAAAACGAATAAAAACGATTAAAAATGAATAAAAACGATTAAAAACGATTAAAAACGATTAAAAACGATTAAAAACGATTAAAAACGATTAAAAACGATTAAAAACGATTAAAAACGATTAAAAACGATTAAAAACGATTAAAAACGATTAAAAACGATTAAAAACGATTAAAAACGATTAAAAACGATTAAAAACGATTAAAAACGATTAAAAACGATTTAAAACGATTAAAAACGATTAAAAACGATTAAAAACGATTAAAAACGAATAAAAACGAATAAAAACGATTAAAAACTATTAAAAACGATTAAAAACGATTAAAAACGATTAAAAACGATTAAAAACGATTAAAAACGATTAAAAACGAATAAAAACGAATAAAAACGATTAAAAACGATTAAAAACGATTGAAAACGATTAAAAACGATTAAAAACGATTAAAAACGATTAAAAACGATTAAAAACGATTAAAAACGATTAAAAACGAATAAAAACGATTAAAAACGATTAAAAACTATTAAAAACGATTTAAAACGAATAAAAACGATTAAAAACGATAAAAACTATTAAAAACGATTAAAAACTATT